CTCAGGAGTTTGAGGCTGTGATCTCAAACTACGATCACACCACTGAACTCTAGCATGGGCAACATAGCGAGACCCACAAAAATTATATACAACTCAAACCGCTATCAAGAGGAGAACAGAAAAATAAATTGTGATATATTCATAAAGTGGAATATTTTCGCAATAAAAAGAATTGAACCACTAGTATGCGCAGTATGATTGATTCTCAACAACATTCAGCTAAGGAAAAAGAGCCACAGGAAAAAAGAGTACATACTGTATGGTACCATTCATATGAAATCCAAGATTAGGCAAAACTAACTTATGGTTATAGAAATCAGAATATTGGCCAGGCATTCTGGCTCATGCCTGTAACCCCAGCACTTTGGGAGGTCAAGGTGGGAGGATCATTAGAGGCCAGGAGTTCAAGACCTGCCTATATAACATAGCAAAGATTCCATCTCAATCAATCAATGAATCAATCAGAAATCAAACACTGTTTTTAGTCAGGGAGGGGGCTTACTGGAAGGGATGTATACCCTATGTTTATCGGAGGAGGGAGAGTGCAATTCTGGTTCCTTTGGTTTTGATGGGGGTAGGGAGTGCCTTCCTAAGAATACACACATGGGACAGGAGTTAAAGCCCCCAAGTAAATATAGGTCTAGTAGGAAGAAGGAATGAGTTTGAGTAGCTAAAAAACAATGTCCCAATGTCCACTCCACTCCATAACCCAACCCCTCATTCAATATTGGAATGCCTTCAACACCCAATTCAGCTAAAACAATATATGAGTTAAACTAATTATTAGGTATCCTGCATCTAAATAATTCATCCCTAGGGGCTCCAGATTAAAATGACGGATTAAATACTCTCATCTAATTTTGTTCCCTCCTAGAATCCCATCGTGTGTGTGCGCGCGCGCGCGCGCCTGTGTGTGTGTCTAAAGACCTAAACCATATGCATGCGGAGGATAAAAAAATACAGCAACGTTCTGAAAGCTGAAAAACAGATGCACAAATGCCAGTTGACGTAGGTGACTTGAGAAAGCTCAATCCCAAAACAGCAATGGAAAAACCTGAAAAGCAACCTTTTGTACACTGTAGAATCTTCTAAATGCATAGGAGTAGGTACCACCAGTTACCTCCTAGGAGTTTCGTAAGAATTAAGTAAGATAATACTGTTAAGTGCTTACTGGCACATAGAATGAGCCCTCAGGAAATATTAGCTATCAGTAATATCACCATCATGCCTCTGGTTAAAATGAGTCAGATTCTCAACTGTCTATAGCAAAAGAGTAAGCATTCTTTTTTCTTTCTTTTTTTGTAATGGGCACGGAGGATATTTATTTAAGATGGTGGTTTTCAAACTTTTGCTTGTTTTGTAAATGAAATCTTACATGAACCTTACTACAGGAAGCAGATAAATGTGCACTCCTCAGGGAGCAGCAAGGGGGAGGGGCCTGGGCTCTACCCTCTCACTCTCTGCCTTGTCCTTTAAAGGAGACTCTGACATCCCTGAGGAACACAACTGGTTTAGAGGGAAAGGGAAAAGAGGTTAACATTTAGACAAATAAACGAACGAATAAAATAAATGAATGGGGAAAAACGGAAAGCCTTTCCTTAATGTGGAGGTAGAACTGGAGCTGGAAAATCACCGCTTTGTAACCATCACAGTAAAGATTGCGAGAAGCATTGATGAATACTTAATTCAGGAGGGAAAGTTTGTTTAGAAGCAGGATATTTGCATGATCTTCATGCAAACAGATGGCACATAAGGGAGAAAACACTGCTTATACCAGGGCAAATATTACTGACCTGCAGACTCGAAAAACGTGAATGTCACGTAAGGCAAGAAAAGGCCGAAGTGCTTCAGATTAAAAGCTAAGAGAGACACAGTGACTATTAATAAACACAACATATGACTTCTCACCGGATTATGTAAAGAAAAAAATGCCATAAAGGACATTATTGGGACAACTGACATTTGAAATGTGGACTGCAAATGTGATACTGGCCAGGAGCCTGTAATCCCAACACTTTAGGAGGCTGAGGCAGGCGGATCACTTGAGCTCAGGAGTTCAAGACCAGCCTGGGCCAAATGGTGAAACCCCGTCGCTACAAAATATTTAAAAATTAGCTGGATGTGGTGGCACCTGTGGTCCTAGTTACTTGGGAGGCTGAGGTGGGAAGATGCCTTGACCGTAGGAGGTGGAGACTGTAGTGAGCTAGGATCATGCCACTGCACCCCAGCCTGGGCCATAAAGCAAGACCCTGTCCAAAAATAAAAAAAAAATTGACACAAGTATTGTATCAGTGTTTAGTTTCCTGAATTTGATAAATGTACTGTGGTTATATAAGATAATGTCCTTATTCTTAGGAGACACAAATGAGTACATTACATGTCCTAAAGAGGAAAAGATATATGTGACCTACTCTCAAACAGTTCAGAAAAAAACATATACAGCATGTTTACACAGATGGAGAAAACAGTGAAAGAAAGGTGGGAGAAAGGAAGGTTTGATAATCAAAGAAATGATGTGAAATAATCTTTAAATAGAGTAATGTGAAACAAAATAGAAAACGTAAGAAACCAGGTTTGCTTATTTCTGCTTTGAACCCCTGACTGGGATGAAAGGCAGCTCCTCAGGAAGAATCTTTTTTTTTTTTTTTTTTTGAGACGGAGTCTCGCTCTGTCGCCCAGGCTGGAGTGCAGTGGCCGGATCTCAGCTCACCGCAAGCTCCGCCTCCTGGGTTTACGCCATTCTCCTGCCTCAGCCTCCCGAGTAGCTGGGACTACAGGTATAGGTAGCAGCAGAGTGCTAGGGTATAGTAATTGAAAATATTTTTTTACTGGATTTTGCCAAATTGCTTTCCAAAGAAGTTTTAACGTTTGCTCAGTTGAATAAAGACAATCTAGAAGCCAAGGGCTAATGGTTACAGTGAAGGTCAGGGGGAGTCAATGTATTGAACGAATCTAAGTTACAACGTTCCTGAAACAGTAAATCAACTTGACCTTGCCTTTTCCTACATGAAGATGTCTGACAGGGTTTGTGATTATGCTTCTACAATCTATAACCAATTTACTTTAGTAATCTATAAACTGATGTACTCTTACACCCAAACTTTAATGAGATTTCACACATACAGAACCCCCACAACCTACATAGAAGCAATGGGCTGAAACACCACTTTGGAGTCCTGTGAAAGAACTGCTCTCAGGGTATAAACCTTGGTCTACAGTCCTCAGTGAGACTTCTGAATAAAACTAACTGTAATCACGTAAAAGCTTAACTTTTTTTTTTTTTTTTTTTTGACAGCAGGTAAGCAAATTAACTGGGGAACTGCAGTGGGGATGCTAAACAGCAGAGTACCCATTTGTTAAGGGTTGATCATGAATTTATGGGAGGGGCTACAAACACAAATGCCAACAGGGGCCAGGCAGGTAAACGACTGAAGCAGGCTGAGTGACGAAGGAACTCAAGAATGCATGTCCCATCTAAAGGGGCAACCACTGGAGTGCTGCCACCAAGCCTAGCAGCTCTGTGCCGCCAGATCTCCTGATTTTCCAAGGGAAGCCAGAAATCTTTATTTTTTTTTGATATGTTAATTTTTAAAACACTCCATGGGCTCAAAAAAACATTTCTAAGTGCAAGAAAATATAGTGCTTGGATGACTAGTTTCTGATTTGCCATCACACCAATTGATGAATACTTAATTCAGGAGGGAAAGTTTGTTTAGAAGCAGGATATTTGTCATGGTTGCATTTATCCAAGGTTCTACACGTGCTAAGAAAGTGACGGGGGCCAGGCGCGATGGCTCACACCTGTAATCCCAGCACTCTGGGAGGTGGAGGCGGGTGGATCACCTGAGGTCAGGAGTTGACGACCAGCCTGGCCAACATGGTGAAATCCCGTCGCTACTAAAAATAAAAAAATCAGCCGGGTGTGGTGGCGCATGCCTGCAATCCCAGCTATTCCTCCTGAGGCTGAGGCAGGAGAATCGCTTGAATCCGCCAGGCACAGGTTGTGGTGAGCCGAGATTGCGCCACTGCACTCCTGCCTGGGCAACGAGAATGAAAATTCCCTCTCAAAGAAAGAAAGAAAGTAATGGGAAAGGAAAAGTGACCTGAGGTAGTGAGTTCTAAGAGAGTGATTGTAATGACGAGCTACAGAAAATTCAGTTGAATAAAGACAATCTAGAAGCCAAGGGCTAATGGTTACAGTGAAGGTCAGGGGGAGTCAATGTATTGAACGAATCGATACCAAATCCTATTCCTCCTCAAGTTCTTCAGCAAATGATGTTAAGTGCTGATGATGGTGGTCACGGAATGTACACTTTTTAAAAATAGCGATAATGCAGTTCTTAGAAATTACAACTTTCAGGTGCATCAGGAGAGTGAGTCGAAGAAATGCCAACCTCAAAAGCGATTGGACGATATTATTTATATTCAGTCTGATAAGGGATTTTGTTACTTAGATGACTTTTTAAAAATGCATCCTGAAAATACATATAATCATGATAAAAAACATCAGACAAATTCCATGATTAGGACATCCTACAAAATACATGACCAGTACTCCTCAAAACTCTCAAGGTCACCAAAAGTAAGGAAAGTTTGAGAAACTGCCACAGCCACAAGAGGCATATAAGGAGACACGATAACTAAAAGTAATGTGGTATTCCGGATGGAATCCTGGAACAGAAAAAGGGTACTGGGTAAAACAGAAGGAAATCTGAATAAAATGTAAACCTTAGTTAATAGTGTAAAATATTGGTTCATTAATTGCAACAAATGTACCATATTAGCATGAAATGTTAATAATACGGGAAACTGGATGCTTTGTATATGGGATTGTCGCAACTTAAAAAAAAACTAAAACAGCCTTAAAAATAAACTACATTAAGAAAATAATACCTATTTTTAAAGGTGTAGTGAATAAAACAATGGCCACCCCTATATTTAACATCTGGTTTAATAATGGCCAATACAGTTAAAGCCTCCCTTTCTTGTCCCCTCCTTACCAGATATGACCGCTTTTCTCAACTTGATTTTCATTCTCTTGTATTCTTGACTACTTTAACTACATATATATACATAACTAAGCAATACATAGCATTATTTTACAAGTTTTAGAGTTGAATGCACATGAATTGTCATACTATTTATTTTTCCACATCTTTCTCTTTTTGCCTCATCACATATCTGAGTTCAGTCTTCTTTTATGGGCGTATAATACTACATCCTAATTAACATCCCATAAGGTATTTATTCTCTTATTGATGGACGTTTCTAATTTTTTGCTTCTACCCACAGCGCTGTTACACACATCCTCGTTCACGTACCAAAGTTTCTACAAGACGTATAGGTAGCAGCAGAGTGCTAGGGTATAGTAATTGAAAATACTTTTTTACTGGATTTTGCCAAATTGCTTTCCAAAGAAGTTTTAACGTTTGCGCACCTACTAGCAGGTGCGTATGTTTAGACGTGTGGAGGATAAACTATTTAAAGACATAGAAACTAGATAATATACTTGCTTCATTCTCGTTTGACTTTCGTACCCACGCAATTATTTCTGCAAACAAATAAGCAACTACTACTAGCACTTTCCGCAGCTCCACCCGCAGTATTCCCCGGGGAAGCACGGAAACACGGGAGCTTCCGGCGTAGGCGGTGACGCAAAGGACGACGTAAGCACGCTCGGGTCGTCGGCGTCCTGTTGGTCGTCCTTGAAGGCCCCTTTCCGGGCTGTCCGACACGATACAAGTGTCGGCTTGTGTTGGCCGGTGGTCTTTCTTTCGCAACAAAGGAAAATATCGTCACAGACTTTCTGTGTTCTCAGAGACGATCTTCTTCCCTAGAAAGGAGTCGCTTTCGGTTGGCGTTTCCCTCAGGCAGCGCCGTGGGCAGCCCACAGGCCCTTGTAAGGCGCGCGCCGCGGCCCCGCCTCTTTCCTTTCGGCCGGAACCGCCATCTTCCAGGTAGGGCCTGCGCGTGGCTCCCGGGCGCTAAGTGTTCGACAGACTTGAACCGCAACCTTGTGGCCTCAGAGCTCGTCCATTGGGACCGTGGGGAGACTGTCTAACCTGTTTGAGGTCCATTGGCATGGGCAGGTTAAACCACGTCCTGCCAGACGGGGAGCAGCGTGCGCCGGGTCGGGCCTGGGCCGTGGGCTGAGAACCGGACTGCGATATCGCGGCCCTGCGGGGGCACGTTTGCGAGAAAGACGGCACTGAGTCGCTTTGGGTGAGGTGACTCGAGTTAATCTTTAAAAGACTTCGTTTTATGTCCCCGTGGCTGCATCTCCGGTACCGTGGGTGGCCCTCTCACATAGGCTGTGTGGGGGCCGCGTGGCCTGATGCCTTTCTAACTTTTTTCAGTGTGGCGTTTTTATTCCTAATCTTGTGATGGTGTTGGGTGAGGACTTAAGCGGTAGTAGGAATGGGTTTAGAGTCAGGCGTCGGTTTTAATCTCCTGTGAGGCCTGCAAGTGTGAAAACCCGGGCCCTTGGTCGGAGAGTGGGTCCCGGAGTCGTCCTGGGTAGTGAAACCTCACTGCTCTTAATTAATGCATAAGACGATTACCGACTGATTTTAAAATTTTGACCCCACATGGTGGTTGGAGGAAGGGAAAGTGTTTTGACGTTGCAACACCAATATTTGCACCCAGAGGAGATGTGTTTTGCGAATTCTAGGGCAGCATGCTTTGAGTGAAGGGAAACATTTAGCCGTAGTTCATCATTTTGTCAGTTTGTGGATGTTAACAGTCTGCAGGTTGCTCTTCATAGTGAATCCTAGTTGCCATGATTTTAATACTGTTACAGACTGTAAAGCATCGTTTTGAAAAGTGCTTTCAGTTTTAAGTTTATGGGGTCCATGCGGAAAATGGATTCCAAACTCAGAAAGGTGAATCTAGTGGAGGACTAAGGGCTCTGGAATCAGGAATGAGTTAACTGGTTCTGCCACTTGGTGATTCCACAGAGTGACTTGAATCTACACAGTACCACTCCTTGTATACTAACTTACCACAAGTTTGTGGAACTTTATACATACACATCTAAAGGCTTTGGGGATTAGAATAGGGTACCTGGCATTTAAAGGGTTCATCCATTGTAACAGTGGTTTGGCTTTGGTGAGTTAGGTGAAACATGTCTCCTTGCTATACAGTTTTTATACAAATGGTACTTTGGGAGCCATTCTTAAAGGATTGTTAGTAAATTTAGAAACCAAATTGTGTTAGAATGTTGTCAACACGTTAAGCCTGACTGCTGTATTTTACCTTATGGTAGCAGTAATAGCCAGGAATGGCACTTATGCCCTGTAATGACTAAAGAGCCATCAAAACTATTGTTTTGGCCTTTTTGGGAAACAAAAGGAAAGGTTAATTTCTAAATGCCTACATGTAGGTGAATTCTTAGATAATGATAAATTAGCTGCCAGTTACTACTGAGCACTTTACGTGGGCCATGCATTGCTGAGTTCTTTGTAGATGTTATCTCAGTTATGGAAGTGTTCACCCCTATTTCACAAATGAAGATGAGAGATGAAATGTGGGTTTCGCAGCTAGTAAGTGGCAGAGCCTATGTCAAATTTAGGTCGATGATTATAAAGCCTGGGTTCCCCTCTCTTCTACCCTGTATACATTTCGTAGTAAGTAATCGGAAATGTGAAGTGACTTGAGATTTCTGATAAATAGATGCTGTTTGAGATACACCATCACGGAAAATTTGGTTGACAAGAAAGATTTAATTCACGTAAAAATGTAAGGCTGTTTTATTGTGTTCTCCAATAAATTATCTTATAGTTAGTAATTACATGCCATTGGCATTCTAGATTGGGGTCTACAGATAGAGTGTGGTAGAAGTCCTGTTGTAGTTTTATATTCTCATAGAGAAAGGGTACTGGTTTGGATTCTCGTATCAAGTTCTGCTGCTTGGCCGCGCGCGGTGGCTCAAGCCTGTAATCCCAGCACTTTGGGAGGCCGAGACGGGTGGATCACGAGGTCAGGAGATCGAGACCATCCTGGCTAACACGGTGAAACCCCGTCTCTACTTAAAAAAAAAACAAAAATACAAAAAACTAGCCAGGCGAGGTGGCGGGCGCCTGTAGTCCCAGCTACTCGGGAGGCTGAGGCAGGAGAATGGCGTAAACCCTGGAGGCGGAGCTTGCAGTGAGCTGAGATCCGGCCACTGCACTCCAGCCTGGGCGACAGAGCGCACTCCAGCCTGGGCGACAGAGCGAGACTCCGTCTCAAAAAAAAAAAGTTCTGCTGCTTAAGAGTTTTGATATTGTAGAACTTGGACAGTTTTGCCAAAATATCTTAACTTGCTAAAATAATGGGTTTTGTACCTTTCAACAGAACTAATTGCTTGGTGACCCAGCTTTCAGTTTGCAGTTCTCACTTTGCTACTGACATGTGAACATTTGAAATTACAGGGGTTTGGGGCAAATGCCAATTTTCATTTGCATTTGACTGTTATGCTTTCTGGTTTCAGTAATTTGCCAAAATGACGAACACAAAGGGAAAGAGGAGAGGCACCCGATATATGTTCTCTAGGCCTTTTAGAAAACATGGTAAGTAGGTTTACCTTCCTTGAGAGAAGCATGGCACACATTTGTGTTCTGTTGTGTTCAACATGTGTTGTAGTTCAGAGAATGTGTATCAATAGCATTAAATAACTAGCATCTACCCAACTTATTTTGTGATAAATAAGCATGAAGTTTATATGGTAATTTTGTGACTAAATATTGATACAAGATTAAACTTTGGAGAAAGGTTGTAATTTAGTAGGCTGATTTTGCTTTTGGGAGAAATTATCCATTGGCAAGATATTAAGCATGTAACCATCAAAAATGATGTGTTAAAAACTAGTGAGATTTCATTTCTTTTACTCTAGACTTTTAGCCTTAGTATTCACTATACCAAATTTATTTTTGCAGGAGTTGTTCCTTTGGCCACGTATATGCGAATCTATAAGAAAGGTGATATCGTAGACATCAAGGTAAACATAAAATTGGGAAAATAACACTACGAAGTTAGAAAAGTTGGATTTAATCTAGTGTAGGAATTCAAATACTAGTGTATATTGCATCTGTAAGAGTACAGAATGGATTTTTTTTTTTTTTTTTTTTTTTTTTTGGCACAATCACTTGGAATGCGACAATCCTCTCAAATAGTACGTTTGACCATTTTTTTTTTTTTTTTTTTTTTTTGAGACACAGTTTCACTCTTGTTGCTCAGGCTGGACTGCAATGGCACGATCCCACCTCAGCCTCTGCCTCCCTTCCAGGTTCAAGCGATTCTCCTGCCTCAGCCTCCCAAATGTCTGGGATTACAGGCATGTGCCATGATGCCTGGCTAATTTTGTATTTTAGTAGAGATGGGGTTTCTCCATGTTGGTCAGGCTGGCCTCGAACACCTCGGATGATCCGCCCAATTCAGCCTCCCAATGTGCTGGGATTATTGCAGGCGTGAGCCACCGCACACAGCCTAGAATGGATTTTTTAAAGTGCTGTTCTTAGCAGAATTTAAATTTTCCTCATCACCTGCTTGGAGTTAACAAGTGGAAATTTGGTGGTAGGGTGGGAAATTAGGAGTTTGTCACATTGGAAGGGAATGCCTTAGTGCAAAGTTTAACTATTGATGAAGATTACCGTTACTATGATTAAAAACCCTCGTAGTGAAAGCTGTGTTCTGTGGTCTGTATTTAAATGTATCCTGGCACTCTAGAGCTTAATGATGATTGGTTTTTTTTGATTGCTTGAAGCAATGTGAAAAACACATTTCACCGGCTCTGAAAGCTCTTGAGTTGCCATTTAAAGGAAATCTTAGAATATCTTAGTTACTTAAAGTCTGATTTTTAAAGGAAAGGGAAATGCTGGTATATTTGTCTCTTTAACAGGGAATGGGTACCGTTCAAAAAGGAATGCCCCACAAGTGTTACCATGGCAAAACTGGGAGAGTCTACAACGTTACCCAGCATGCTGTTGGCATTGTTGTAAACAAACAAGTTAAGTAAGTAGTGTTGTAGTTCTTTGCAGCCAACCGGTATTCCCTCATACCCCCTTTTCACTTTGCCAATTGGACTTATGTCTTTATTGGTCATTCAAGTGGGGCAAAGGAAATATCCTTTTAAAACTCAGGCAAACTGGGTGTTTGTCTTGTATCCTGTCAGAGGAAACAAATTGAAACAGATGTATTGGAAAGTCTTAACACAGTTTGTTACCAAGCAGTTTTTTTTGTTGTTTGTTTTGAGACAGAGTCTTGCTCTGTCACCCTGGCTGGAGTGCAGTGACGGGATCTCTGCTCACTGCAAGCTCCACCTCCTGGGTTCATGCCATTCTCCTGCCTCAGCCTCGCGAGTAGCCGGGACTACAGGCACCCACCACCACGCCCGGCTAATTTTTTTGTATTTTTAGTGGAGATGGGGTTTCACTGTGTCAACCAAAATGGTCTTGATCTCCTGACCTCGTGATCGCCTGCCTCGGCCTCCCAAAGTGCTGGGATTACAGGCGTGAGCCACCGCGCCCGGCCCAGCAGTTTTTGTAGAATAAAAAGAGAAAATTTTAAATTTTATTAGCAATCTGGTTTGGGTTAGATTACT